TTCCTCTGTACAGCACATACCACCTTTGTTGACCTCTGCAGACCTATCTCCCCTCGTGCACACCTGTGAACTGCACAGCACAGCAACCCTGAATGCTCAACTGCTTATAGTTCCCTAACATACCACGTCGTCCGTCCTTCCTCTTCCGCCTTTCTAGCCACATTCTGCCCTCCTGAATTCCAGGCTAAATTCTATCCAATCTCTTACACCCTGCTCATCATCTCCCACAGTCCAACTCATCCCTCAAAAGCTTGTCCATCTGTTAACATGTGCGCACACACCCAGTCAGTCTGCCCCATCAGAGTGAGATGGCTTCAAAAACATGGCCAGTGCCCGCCACACACCGGCCTCAGCCTCGGCTTGATGAGCGATTGAATAAGTAACTGCTCAGAAAACCAGACAACAGGTGACCCGAACGCACGTGAGGAGCCAGAGCTGATGCAGGTAGGGAGAAGCAGCGGCCCGCGCAATTACTCACGTAGATTTCCATCTTTCGGTAGAGACCATAGTTGAGCAGCAAATTGTGAGTCATGCGAATTCGATGGGGCTTCATCGGATGACCTTGTCCATAATAGTAATTTCCAACATCCCCTAAAAAAACAGAAAGGCAGCTTTGATCACACAAGACAGTCATACACTCCCAGGAGAACCCAGGAATCCTTCGGAATCCTTCTATCAAATCCCCGAGCAAGCTCTCTTTGGGGCTCATTTCTAGTACTTAAGGTTCTCCTAATAGATGACTATGGGTCTCTTCCCGTCTGGAGCAAAGGACAGTGAAGGAAACCAAGACTCAAAAAAGACACCAGTCACGGTACTAACAGTCCACATCAACCACCTCTTCCAGCCGAGACCAGAACTAGACGGTGCCCAGCTCCCACTAGCGACCACTCTGATCAGGGACACACGAGAAGACCCGAGAGCAAGTGGGAGAAGAATGGACACCAACACTCAAATGTCTATAGAATAAGTCACATGGGCTCATATCGAAACTACAGGGGCCCTGAGATGATTGCCGAAGGACGCTTTTTCAAATTTTATTTTTACTTATTTTTATTTTTTTAAATGTTCTTTTAACTTGAAACTCAAGGCACTCCTTTCAGCCAAGTAATACTTGGCTTATAAAATAACGAGTATATCACTTGTGAGCAATGTGCTCCCTTAAACCATCAACTGTAGGAGAAGGAAATGGTCCACATTTACCCAGGCAGGGAGGCTAGCGCAACAGACGGAGAGCAAATAAAGGGAAGAATGAGAATGCTGGCACAGTGTAAAGACAGTAACCACGCTCATGAAGCAATCTGTACAAAGATGGGCTGTGGAAACTTTCACCTAAAACACAATAAAATAGATTTAAAAGATTCTCACCCACTTTGAGGAGATCTTAAAATATTTTTTTAAACAAATAGGAAATTGAGGATGAAGTCAGCATTTAAATAAAAGAACGGCAAAGTCTCTTCCCTGGAACCACAACCGGTGTTAGGATAGTATGAAGTGTTCATATTTCAAAGGGGCTGTTGTTCAATAGTCTTTAAATGAATTGAGCAGCTAGCCACAAGGTGAGCAGTTCAATCCCAGCAACTGCTCCTGGGAGAAATAAGGCTTTCTTTTCCTGTAAACATTTAAAGTCTTGGAAACCCACAGGGGCAGTTCGATTCTATCCTGTAGGATCGCTGTCAGGCAGAATTGATTCGATGGCAATTGTTTTTGTTTGCGGGGGCAAGGGTAACAGCAATGAGTGAATGGGCTTACTGTACTTATTACACCTCCAGAGCAACAGCATAACCTCAATTCCTCAGAATTATCACAGGTACAGCTTACCTCTCACCACGGGATACTTCATGG